GGATAGTAAAAAGACCTGAAAATATCAGAAGTACAAACATTGCACAAAATTGTACATTCATTGTTGTTCTCTGGGCGTAGGTTAATATGTTCGTCAGAACTGCAAGTTACGAGTTGAATCACCAGTAACTTGAAGCTAGTAGCTAAGAACCAATTGCAGGTCTGTTACGGTATCCTTCAGAGCGGTTTCGAATTCTAATTTATCATAATCATATTTTAATTAGGTTGTTAAAATGATTGCATTATAATATACTTACTGCATGTCTTTCTCTGCCAGATTTGCTTTCGTTTGTAAGGCAGCAAGCTTAATTTTGCGCCATTCACTTGTCACCCCGTACGCCTATATACGTTATTTACTTTCTGCTAGAAAATCCGTCTAACATTTAATGATGATTAAGTAGTTCTGTTTTTAAGTCGTGTAACTTTAAGCTAACAGCTATATATTCTTCGGCTTGCAGTTTAGGTGAAACTGTTAAATCGTCCCCTCTTTCACTTATGCCGCTTACAGCATTCTCTAAGCAATTATTACCGTATACCCGTCCAGATGTGCAGGAACGATATCACACAAAACTAAGTGTGGAGGTTTAAGGGGTAGCTTTGCAGCGTAAAGTTTCAGATAGTCTTCCTGACTAACAGTTCTCCTACGCCATCGTCCCATCTTGATGGGTTTGTTCTGCTCTGTGATCATTGTTTCAAAATCACGTATTGAACTTGAGCATGCCGTCGAGGACTCGATCGCGTATGACTACTTTAGTATGAGTATTTGTGACTGCACACTCTGGCATTGCACATTTTGTCTATGTTTAGTTCACTTTCGTTCCGGGTTTTGTCCTGTGGCGTCGTTCGAGTGCCAAGCTGAGCAAACATGACATCACCCTTGGCCAATGGGGCCGTCAACGACGACTTGGCGGCAATACATCTGAAGTGCGGCCAGATAACGGATGAGGTGAGTGATCGAGTTCCTATTGCTTGTACAAGACCTGGCTCTGACTCGTTGATCACTACCGTTTCTGTTCTAGTCCCTGGAAAGTACGAGGCGAATGCTGCAGCTGTGCGATGAGGTAAATTCCATTGTTAATTAATAAGAGGACACCAATTACGGTAATGTCGCTGTGCACTTGATAATAAATGCACCCCTTGAGCGTCAAGCAGTCGCCTTCAGTTATATACCCATATGATCGTTAATTGCGTTTTTCTGTCATGACGACTTCAGCGGCTTTGAAATCACTTCGTTCGGATGTAGTAAATCAATGTGTCATTCGTTAGCCTGACACTAATTAACTTATGCGGCTCGAACGTGGAGTCATGCGTTTATTTTTTATGGTTCCGATTCGCGGCCTCCCGATTTGTCACGAACGAAGGGAATTAATGAACACTCTCTCCTGTTCCGAAGAAGTATGCGGTTTAGTACAAAACAACGTGCTACTGACTGTGAAGATTTTCACCATCTCGACACACCTGTGAAACATGCCTTCCTATCCAGTTGCATAAAGGGAATTAGAGTTTATCAGCAGGATTTAGCAGGCTCCATCGCTTCGGCCACTTTAAAAGAAGACCCATCGAGTACGTTGGGAATGTGGTTCAAGCACTGATACTTCCGGGAACGAAAGGACGGGAAGACCGAAGGAAAGGTGGCGCGATGTCGTCAAGAACGATGTGAAACTGTGAGGAGTCTCTGAAGATATGACAGAAAAATGTGGAGGTGGCTGACTCGATCAGCAGACCCCTGTGACATGTTAAAAAACGATTTTATTCACCAAAGCTGCAAGCGCATTCCGCTACTGTGACCAATTGCCGTCGTACTTTTACCGTTCGTATAGGGGTGACCAAATGCAGTTCAACCAATCGCTGATGTCCATTGATCCGCCGGATCCCAGTAAAAGCCACTTAATTTTTGCATACGCACCGATACAGTAAACTGTCGCTATAAGGTCAATGCGATAAACGCAAAATTTTGCCAACGTGTCACATTTCCCAAATGCTGCTGCTAAAGCTGTATGAGCAATACGGAAAACAGCAACCACAGAATTCTGGAGTTATTTACCGTAATGATAAGAACAACTCAAGTTGCTTGATGGATAACACAGTGGTGGATCAGCATCCCCATGTTTTTAGCTACTACGAGACGTTCAGGCAGGTCAAGTCCCATAGAATTTCATCGCCACCAATGCAGGGATACAAGTAGTTGTGGTGTTTACACAAATTTTACACCGCTTATCTTGAGGTTTGAACAACAGCATATCAGCAGTGAGTTCGCTAGTGACTCATTCACCGCAAAGGTTTCAACGAGGCGTTGGCAGTACGATAGCGCATTGCGGTTGTTAATGTTTTATTGGGCCATGGCCTGCCGTCGTGTGTATTCTTGTTAAGCGATATGAAGCTGTTCTGTTCAGTGGCTTGGCTTGGTTTGTGGACTGAAACTATTTGAGTTTCTGCAAGATGTACAGTCGTCAAGGTATGAGCATTTTTGTCGATGTGTGAAGAAGTTGAAGACTTTGTTTGGCCAAACATGGTGATGCACTGAACATGCTTTCAAATTCCTTGAAACCGTGACTTTTTTGAAGATCGACCGGATAGTAAAGAGCAGCTGGAAGTTACGTGCAACATGTAAATTCAACTAAGTGACACAAAGATTGACTTTGGCTCAGCACTGCTTTATCCTGAATTTCCAGTTGTTTTCCTTCCCCCAGCGATATGACCGTGAGAAATGGCAGATCGCCAAGTTTTCGTGATTTTCAGAATCTCAGGATTAACTGCACATCATTCTAGTCTGCTGGTTGATGCAGAAAAATGTCGTTATAGGCTAATACGGTGAAAGAAGTCAAATATTTTGCCTCTCCCTATTGCAAAATTAGGAGTTAAGATACTTAGACTATGCATTATGTGATTCACTGTAAGATTACTGACATTCTACCAAAGTTCTTTGAGTTGTTGATGTTGCTTTTTCGAGAAGCTGCCAAATAAATTACGATCGGCAGGATCTGAAAAAAGTCAGTTTTATTGTACGTTAATACTGTAAGAACACATGATTGTGTCAATACAGTAGACCTATCTGCACATTTTACTCATCTACAGCGTTAGCGTTGTGTAACTGCGCTTTGTCGCGGGAACCAAAGTAAAATCATATCATCCGGACTTACAAATTATTGCAGTAAACTTGTTATAGCTAATTTAAGTTTTGAAATTCTTAGCGGAAAGGAAATTATTTGTTATTTGTTCATTCATTTTCAAATACTGTGTTTTTGGGTCATACTGTGCTATTCCAGATGTTGTTCCAGTAGATTCCGCCCAGCTCCAAACGTATGAGTTGAATGATCTAAATTTTAAGCGACAAGGTTTCGATATATCGTCTGGACTTTGACCTGCCTTATCCGGTTTCATTTCGGGATTCCGAGATTGTTTTCATGCCTTGGGTGTTGCCCACGTCATCTTCTTCATAAATAGCAGGTCAACTCGATATGACTGTAGGTTTGTTTAACTGTTGCTCCTGCACATCACCGGAGCTGTTGTGGATTTTTTCCTCGAAGGTTATGCCTAGTTTTGAGGTCATCGCAAGTGAGTCCATAATTTGCGTCGGTTGATCGGAGCCGCAGATGCCTCAAAAAAGAAAATAGGCACGCAGCTCGTTGTGAATTGTGGCAGGAACTCTGGAATCTACCTCATCAATCCAATGGGTATTTATCCTTGCGCATATGAAATCTCCTCATCTCCGTTGGGGTGAGCAGCCATTTCTCTCCTTCTGTGTGATTTATGCAAATCGAAAGGCTTTCATTCATCGTGTCCCGAAAGCTACTGATACGACACCCAAAACAGTGCAAGCTGCCGTGGTAACGAACGATCACACAACGACTGTACCTTGATGAACATAGGTGAGTAGAGTCGTACTTTATAACCTCTCCTGATGAAGACCTTGAGTTCAAAAGAATCACTCGGCGTTTGACTTGATCACTAAGCAGAGTCG